GTTGACTTGTAGCCCGCTGCCCTCGGTTTTGAGAATGAGTGCCAGCTCTTGAGGAGGGAGATAATTTAACAACATAGGAAGCATGTCACCATGGATATCTAAATTAATTTAGTTTGCTCCTTCAGTTTTCCGATGTGAATCATTTTCAAGAAGTTATAAATAATGGTTAGCCTCTGAAGATGAATCTACTCGCCACTATTTTTAGAAAATACAGAAAGCAATCCACAATGTTACACAACTCCACTTGCCTGCAGTACTAATCTTATTACGTAGGACAGTTTTTATTTTTTAGAAGACATCATGTTGTCTCTATTTTTCAATTTCTTTACAATATTACAAAAAAGGAGATTTGTCTGTATATTTGCATTTCAAGCCCCCCCCCCAACCTTCTTTTTGGTACCAGTGATCAAACTTATGTCCTTGCACTTGCCAAGCAGGCACTTATGCCACTGAGCTAAATCCCCAAACAAAACCCCTTTTGAAATTAAAAGAAAATTATTAGAAAAGGAATATATAAAATGGTAATTCGCAGCATGTATTCAGTAGAAGAAACATGGATGGAGTTGAACAGACGTGAAGTAGAACGTGCCTATGTCACCTGCTAACTGTGAGACCCTGAGCAGTGCTTCTTTGGCCAAATAAACTTCAGCTTTTGACAGATGAAATGAAAATAAAAATACTGCCTTTCCTAAGATGCTTATCAAGACTGAATGAAACTACATTTAGCACTATACAAAGGTCCCAATAGATGCCCAATAATACTGTTTCCCTTTCCCAGGGTGATGTATTTATGGATGTATTCTCCTATTGACCAATCCCCCTTTATTAGAGTATTAGTCATAAAATTTATGAAGTAATTACATACATTTTAAATAGTCAAGATTAAATCGTGTTATGCATTTGGTAATTTTTCAAGCCCTGTTATTCTAACAACAATTAGGTACAAGAGGAAACGAAAAAGATTTGTTTAAGAAATTAGTAACTGGGCTGGGGTTGTACCTCAGCAGCACAGCCTCTTACCTGGAAAGCGCAAGGTCCTAAATTCAATTCTCAGGATGAAAAAAAATCAAAAACTATATTAACTATCCTTTGTTCCAGATGCTAAACAGCCATTTTAATGCTGTTACCAGAGTAGCATAAGAATTTTATGAGATGTATTTCCAAATATTAACAATGATAAATTCTTACTAAAATTCATTAGTTAGCCAAATACAAATTCTTTTTAAAGAGAAAAAAATAAAAACCAATGATACAGAATTTCAAAACAAGATAATAGGAAATTAACAATGGTTAATATATTATGCATTGTTACCTTCAAAGTAGTTGTTCAGATTACAAGATACAGGCATGAATGATTGATCAAACAATATTAGCACAAATCACTTTTTGAATGAACTAAGGGAAATCAATAGTATAACTATCTTAGCTATCTTTTGTGTGTGTATGTATGTATGTACATATATATGTATTTGTTGTTTTCCTTCTTTTCTCCTTTCACTCATCACAGTTGTTCTTTCCTTTAAGCAGTTTGTTTCCCTTTCATAATGCCTATTATAGATTTTGGACCTTACTTACTTTTACAGTTTCTTACAGAAGGGAGATAATACAATATTTACACGTATGAGTCGATTTATTTCACTTATGAGTATGGTTTCTAGTTGCATCCATTTAACTATAAAAGCCTCAAGTTTACCATTTTTCTTTTGCTGTGTGTTTAAATCTTTTTTTGTTTTGTTTTACTTAATTTGAAAACTAAAAAACAATGAAAACAATGATACAGAATTTCAAAACAAAATAATAGATTAACAATGGTTAATATATTGTGTATTGTTATCTTGAAATTAATTGTTCAGAGTAGAAGATTTAAGAATGAAAAGTTATCAAACCATTAAGAACTGTTGTTTTTGATGAACAGGTGCATACTATAGTTATCTTATCTTGTATCTTTTCCCTTCTTTGTTTTCCCCTTTCCCCTATTCCAGTTGTTCTTTCCTTTTGATCAGTTTCTTTCTCTTGCACGTTCACAATAAATATTGTACATTTCGGATCTTATTTTGCTCTTTCAGTTTTTACATTAAGGAGACAATATGATATTTGCATACATGTGTCTGATTTATTTCACTTACGGTATGATCTCAAATTGCATCCATTTATCTACAAAAGCTTGAAGTTTATCCTTCTTTATAGTTGAGTAGTACTTCATTGTATAAAATACCACATCTTTTTTTTATCCATTCCTCGGTTGATAAACATTTGAGTCATTTCCAGAATTTAGCTAAGTTGTGCTGCTAATAAACATGAGTGCACATGTATCACTGTGGCATTGTTTTCAATTCTTCTGGGGAAATGCCCAGAAGGGGAATAACTGGATTGAATGGGACATCTAATCATAATTTTTTGAGGCATCTCCACACTGATTTCCACAGTGGTTGTGTCAGGCTACACGCTCACCAGCAGTGGAGAAGTGTTCCTTTTTCCTCCATTAACATGTGTTACTGGTTGATTTCTTGATGATAGCCATTTTTTTTTCTAGAGTGAAATGAAATCTCAGTGCTGTTTTAATTTGCATTTCTCAAATGACCTGTGAAGTTGAACATGTTTTCATAATTTATTTGCCATTTTTATTTCTTCATCTGAGAAGTGTGTATTCATCTCAGATGACCATATTTGGATTAGAGGGGCCTGATTTTTTTTCGCAATTTTTTATATGCTCTGGATGGAAACCCTTTATCTGAGGGACAGTTGGCTAAAATTTTTTACCATTCTGAGGGTTTTCTTTTCACTCTGTTGGTGATTTCTTTTGATGTGCAAAAACTGTTCAATGAGATGAGATTCCAGTTATTGATTCTTTGAAGTAATTCCTGTGTAGTTTGATATTTGTTCAAGAACTTTCTCCTATCAATGTTTTCAAGATTTCTAACTACTTTCTCTTCTAGTAGGTTTAGTATTTCTGTTTTAATATTTAGATCTTTGATCCATTTTAACTTTAGTTTAGTGCATGGTGATAGACATGTGTCTAGTTTTAGTCTTTAGCCTGTGGAAAGCCAGTTTTTCCAGCACCATTTATCAAAGAGGCTTTCTTCCTGTGGGTATGTTTTGTCCCTTTGTAAAAGATAAGGTGACTGTGTTTTTAGTTGTGTCTACGTCTTCTAGTCAGTTCCATTGATCCTCAAGTCTGACTTTTTGTTGTTGTTGTTGCTGTTTGGTTTTCAGATTGTTTTGTTTTGTTTTGTTTTTCCAGTACCATGCTGATTTTATGCATGGCATTTTTAATGCTTACAACAGCTTTCCAAGGTAGGGATAATTACCATTTGTCATTTTACACATGGGAAAATCAATGATTACAGCATTTCAGCAACTTTCATAATTTAAGTACCAAGCGACTATGCTGAGCTCAAGGCTGAGTCTGTTCTTCCAAACATATGAGTTCCAACCATCAAATAGTGCATCACTTCATATTTCTAATATGTTGATTTCAATAGAACTTTACCTAATGCAGTTTTCTCTCCATCTGCTACTCCTAAAATCGGGTAAAAGAAGCACATGCATGAGCACACCTCACATAGCATAAGGAAGAGATGGAGGCAGAACCCAGGGCTGAAGTCAGCTCTTGGGCTTCCAGTCCTACCGTGACAACTTGCCAACCATGTATCTTTGGACTGGTGACTTCCCCTCTACAAGTAAGGAAATGTCCTATATACAAGGTATGATTAAAAAATACAGTCAGTCTTTAAATTTTAAAAATTTAATTAAAAGATACATTGCTATGAATCCCCCTCAAAGGTTCCCTCTCACTTTAGACACACTTACCCGGTTGTTCTTTATGTTTTCTGAAGCAGGTCCGGAAGTCCTCTTTCACAAGTATCCATAGTTGCACTGTCGCAGCTACTCCAGTGTCCTGAATTGATTCAAAATATTGACCTTCCAGGGTCATCTTAACTCTGGAAAAGGCCAAAACCCACATGGTGCCAGATACAGTGAAATAAGACAGACAAGGACATACCACAATGTTTTAACAATCCTGCCTTTCTGTTGGATGACACTCAGCAGCAGCACTCACCGTATTTTTTGCTCATTCTTCATGAAGACATGACAAGATTTCCAGAACTACTTCAGAAAGTGGCAAGAACGATGGGATAAATGTGTTTGAATTAGAAGTACTTTGGAGGGGATTAATGGTGAGGTCTCTTTTAGCATAATAAGGTTTATTTTTAATTTAAGCACTCATCATACATTTTGATCATACATTATGAGAATATGTCTTTCATGTGCAGTCATAAACTGACCAATATGGATCCTTCCCCATTTACTCAGAAATGGAGTCAATAGTGGAAAGAATTACTAGAGTCACCAAGGACATACCTACTTTTGTACATATCTATGTGTTAGACTGAGTTTGTTTCCCATTACAGTGAAAGAGCATGATGCCTCAGCACCAAAGTGAGAGAGAGAATGAGAAAGGATGAATTATAGAATGGGGTTTTGGCTAAGTGACTTGAAGAAAGATCTAAGGACATGAGAATTCACTCTGGATTTTCAAGGATGTATCTATGGTTGGATATTAGCCATAAAAGCTACAGTACCATAAAAGATACTGTGGCATTAGCCAAGAGAGAATGGTTTAGTATTTTTTGACTTGCACACTGATCCTGTTTTGGTATGTGCTAGACGAGATCACATAGTGACCTTGTGTTATCTCACTCCACTCTGCTCATACAATGACCTTGGATGAGCTATGATGTGTCCAACACAAGAACCACAAGTCTCCCATGGCTCTCAGGCAGCTTTGAGCAACACCCAGCCCCAGAGATTGCAAAATGGACCAGCTTCTGGGAGTTAGTCCCCAAGATCAATGAGCAAAGCAGAGTTTGTCCCTCAAAATATGGTGCTTGAGATCCAGTACTGCAGCTTCCTGTTGGTGTTAAGATCCACTTTCTTTTTTAACCTTCCAGCTGAGGGAAAGCCTGAGCCTCACTTATGCATCTTGCTTCTTTCTCTAGGTCGGACTCATCTCAGGCACAATCTTTGTGATTCTTGGATTGACTGTGCTGGCAGTGGGCTTTCTTGTGCCTCCCAAAATCGAAGCCTTTGGCGAAGCAGATTTTGTGGTGGTCGACTCACAGGCCGTGCAGTTTAACAGTGCCCTCGACATGTGCAAGCTGGCAGGGGCAGTGCTGTTCTGCATCGGAGGGACGTCCATGGCAGGGTGCCTGCCGCTGTCGGTGTTCGCCAAAAGCTACTCCAAAGAAGAGAAATTCCTTCAGCAAAAGTTTAAAGAGCGAATCGCAGATATCAAGGCCCATACCCAGCCCATCAGTAAAGCTCCAGGCCCAGGGGAGACAAAGATTCCAGTTACTTTGTCCAAGGTTCAAAATGTCCAGCCTCAGTCAGCAACCTGAGGCCTTTCGCACCCCAGCCATCTCCCTTGTGGCTCACACACCTGGGGAAAAGGAGCGCTGGCTTCTGAGGTGACAACGATTTGATGGCAGCTCACCCAGGGCTGTTTGCCAAGGGGCACAGAGTGTGGACAGGAGCCCGTATGTTCTTGGCCCCGGTGACTTTGGGGACAGCAGTGCCGCAGTCTCCTGCCTAGTGTAGTCAGCTGCTTTAGGCAGATGCTCTGTGCCCACCAGGAGCCCCTCTGGAGCTTCTCTTTCAGATTTCGTGATCTTGTCTGGTTTCTGGTGGTGTTTAAAGTGCTCACTCATTCGACCAGCTAACATGGTCCGTTTTGTTTTCTGATAGTTGGTTTTTCTACTCCCTCCTGCGTGGTGCTGTCTCCTACCGGTGTCTTTCTGTGTGTAAGATATTGTCGTGTTGTGGTCACAGAAACCTGGACTTCCCTGATTTCGGTCTGAAGATTAGTCTTTTAATTACATCTTATCATGAAGTTCCAGAGATTAGACACAAATGTTTCGATGTTCTCCATAAATCTTTGTGTTTTCTTCAGATTTTTTTCCAATTTAAAAAACTAAAATTGCCAACTTTAGAATTTTGGTGAAAAAAACTAATATTGAAAGTATACGTTTATGCAGTACCTGAAAGCACTGTATTTAAAACCCAAGAAATTTGAATTCGTACTACTAACTGGCCGTGTGATTTGCAGGAATCATTTTGCTTCCTAAGTCTCATCTTCCCTGTCTGCATAATGGGAATCTAAGGACCTTCCCTTCTCAAATACCTGCCATTCATTTCTGCTGAATGTCTTCAAGCCTCTCCACCACGGAGGTTTGTTATCCTGTGGTTGTCATCACGAGGGTTGTTTTGTTTTTTGTTTTTTGTTTTTTGTTTTTTCAGAATTGGACTCCTGGAAATCACTGAGTTTGCAGTGTTCACACTATGGACCCTTAAATAGCAACTCCAGCAGTTTATATAATGCTATCATATTTTTATAAAGACAACAGTCAGCATCCTCAAGGAAGAAACCCCTCGAGGATATTAACCTGAAACGAGGTTTTTGCTCCTGAAGGTGTTTTATTCCCCAGCAAGATGCCTTTCTGATGCCATATACTTTGATTAGTCTGTGAAATTAAGTTAGGCTAAAGAAAAGCAAAGGTATGATCTTAGTGTTCCATCAGAATATGTGTCACCTTAGAGTTCTGTCTTTTTTTTCCTTCTTCCTTACTAAATAAATAAAATACATGATTAAGACGAACCTGAAGTTCATGGTCATCCTTCACCATGACTGTTTACCCTCTGAAGTGTAATTTTCCATCCTGACACTGAGTACATCTGATATTTCCCTGGATAAATGGAGAATAAATGAAGCAATTAGTGACTCCGTGTGGGGTGTTTATTTTGCACCATCCAACATGGCGTGGGGAGCAGACGAGCATCCTACAAGGGCACTTGGCTAAGTTTTGGAGAAATTGGTCCATCCCTCCATCCTGGCTAGAGGGGAACCTCCTGGAAAGGCTAATGTCATTCTGGTCTTCAAAGCCCACAAGTTTGTGCATCATGCTCAACAAGTCTCCAGCTGGCTTCTGGCCTGTGTATCAGTGAATCTTGGAGAATGCACCTTGAGTTTTTAAAACCTCCAAAATGAAAAATAATGGCTGGTGCAGTCTGGGGACCTTCAGTTTAGCATGATCATGGGCCTGGATTCTCAGAAATTAGTAGTTTGACTCTGTTGAACAGCCTTCAAGCACTGCTCCAACTTGCACTGAAATCATCAGGGGCAAAGCAGTGCAATTGCATGCTGGGAATGGGGTTGGGAGGGGCACAAGTGGACAAGATTAGAAAACATGCTGTCTGGGGTCATGTCTGCATAAATGTGTGGCAGGATGCAGCCCTCAGGTGACATGGCCTGCAGAGGGTGAAGTCCCCAAGCCGTCACGGATCTACTGGACCCCCATCTCCACTAGCCAGGGCTCCTCCAGTAAAGCCTTCACCCTCACAGGGTCAAGCTGTGTCACTTTAAGCAGGATCTGTGTGGCCAGAAAATGATTCTCATGTAGGACAGAGGCCACTTTTCTAACCTCTCCACTTCTTGAATGAAATCCCGTAATTCAGAATTACCTACAAATGTAACCCTCTTTCATACGACCATCTGCTCCCCACCAATGCCTACGTTTCGTTGTTCAACATTTTCACTCGGTCACTTTTCTGCCTCTCTTTATAGGAAGTCGAGTCCCCTCCCCAAGGTGTAAAATTACCTGTGCTAGAGATTCCCTGCCTTCGTGATGCTGCACACAGCGCCTGCTACCAGGACACTCACTGACTCCTAAGAGAAATAAATGTTACATGGCTTCTCTTAGAAAGAACCCAAAATATAAAAAAATCTAAGGGCAAAATAAAAGATGGACACAAGTAATAAGGAACAAGGAGATCATTTGCAAACAGGAAAGAGATCAGAGATAAAGACAGGACAGGTAAGCACAAGGTCCTGAGTTTGATTCCCAATATCAAAAAAAAGGACAGGAAAGAGAAGAGACATAAAAAGAATGAAGTGTGTTATATACACCAGCTGCCCACAATGCATGTCATTGTTGTGTGCCACAAACATGCACTGATACATAATAAAAGAATAGTGACTTCAGAGGTCCTGTGAGCAGCAACTTCCTATCCTCCCCTCTATCCCTCTATCCCCCTCTGGCTGTGTTCCTGCACTTGCCAGGTACCCCCACCCCAGTCAAACGCAGCCATTTTTGTCTCCCCAGCTGTGCCTGCACTTCCGTGTCACTCTAGCACCACTCACTGTTCCTGTTCCCCTAGCAACAGCTATCTGCTCCTTGTCTGGCTTTGAATGAATCGATCAAGGCTGAATGGAGAAATGGCAGCAGAAAGAAGAGTTTGCATGAACTGAGTGGGAGGCAACTTTGAAGCATTTTACAGATATTTATTAGTTCACTTAATCTTCACAAAAGCTCTATAAGCCCAGAACGGTTATCATATGCCCCATTTTACAGAGGAGGAGGGATAGGCAAAGAGAGGGACTACTTGTCCACAGGAACTTGGAAGGATGGAAGCAGAGCAAGATTCATCTCCAAGCACACTGGCTTGGAACTGGTAAGTTTTCTGCCTCTAGAGATATGTTCTCTCTACTCTCTCTGTCTCTCTGTCTCTCTTTTTCTGTCTCTCTTTCACACACACACACACACACACACACACACACACATACACACACAAACTTCAGGCTTAATGATGTGTCTTTATTCCAGTGACTTGGCACGTCTGTTTTCCACTAGAAACTACACTATTAGCTACTCAGGTGGCAGGAGCATAGCTTAGTAAATGGTGACTCCAGGAAGCAAACACCTAACTGTGATATGTTACTACTATATAGTCATTTAACACATTTAACACAATTACTGCTTTCTGCTCAGCCAGGCTTTGGCTGGTGCTACAGAAAACAAAGATTATTAAGGGTGCTAAATGGCTAAAAATTTTTGCTGTCTTGTGTGTGTGTGTGTGTGTGTGCGTGCGTGTGCGCGTGTGGGTGTATGTGTATGTGTATATGTGGCAGTCATTAAAAAAAGCAGCTCCATTCCTCACACTAAAAGCAGACCACAGCAGATGGTAAAGCAGGAGCTTGGTATGAAGAGTGAGCTGGCGTGCCCTGCCTTTCCTTGTAGCACAAGTTTTGTGGATGTGAGTTATTTTTAAGGCCTCTCCCAGTTCATCAAGTAAGAATTAGGAGCTATTATAGCTAATCAGGAGAAGGATGTTTCATTGTCAAGCTGTACTCATGTGTGCAGTTGCTTAAAACATGTGTCCTGTACATTTCCAGATGCAAGAGTAAACAGATCAAAAAAATTTTAGAGGAGAACTAAGACTGAGTGTATTCACAAGTGTGTCCCACCACCAAGGTGTCCTCAGCCTTACAGGTGGGGAGCCCACTCTGGTGGCTGGCTTGCTATGACTACATTCAAAGGAAACATCCTCCAGCAGTGGAACCTGGCCCACTGACAGAAAGTTCTCATCAGATCCACAGTCCAACGTGGGACCCAAAGAAGACCCAAGGCTTCCCTTCAAGGGCAGGGTGAACTCTCCCCAGGCAGACAGGAGCTCAGCCTTTCATCCTATGAAAGCACAAACGAAGTTTCACACATCTGAGGAACCAATACCTTGAAAGTGACACTACAGAGGGAATAATAAACTCAGGAAACAGAAGGGTGTCAGAAAAATCACAGCAGAACATGCAGACTCAAATCTAATCAGCTTACAAGAAGGAATTGCATCAATAAGATAAAAATATGACTATGAAAAAGAACATCAAATAATTTACAATAGCAAACTACTAAATGTGTAAATTGAAATCATTTCCTAGAGAGAGAAAACACTCTCATTTTTTAAAATGAAAAATATAAAACAAAAGGTAAAGGCAAACCCCTTCAATGAACCAAACGATGATAACAGTAATATAATAAAGAATTATCAATAAAATAATGGTAGAAAAATTCTCAAGGATATAGAATATAAAAATATTCAGAATGGAAGGGCTATTGAATTTTAAAAATTTGAATTATTTTTAAAAATATGCACTTTTTTAAGGATTATTTTTTGGACACAAAAAAATGGAATCAAGAATCTTCCAGTGAGAAATAGTGAGATATAGAATGATGAAAAAACAGTTATTTCAAGTACTAAATGGTCAGGTAGCTTTCAGTTGACAGAAAATGCGTGTTACTGTTATGAAGAAGAAAAAATGCAAACAATAGAAATTCCAAGAAGAAAATTTTAAAAATAAAGATGCAAAAGTCCAAATATTAAACATGATTTGGATGTGATGGGAAAGACTTGATAAAAGAAAGAGGACACCATCAGAATTTCACTTTCCAACTAGGCATATTCTACTTCTGGTAGAACAGGAGCTAAGACCATTGAACCCCAAAAGTAAACCAAATGTAGTAGAAACTCCGCTTACTGGTGTTCAACTTTCAGAATCAAATATGGCCAGAAGAAAGGTCTAAATTATGAATGTGAGACAGAATGACTGTGTTATACATTTGAAGATGTAAAAATAAAGATGAAGTGAGCAAAATTTGGAAAATGAAAAAGATTAGGGGAATAATTCCGACATCCTGTATCATCACCCAATATCGTGAAGTCAAGAGTAATTGTCTTAGCTACTGGGGTTGCTATAATAAAATGCAAGATGTAGGCAGCTTTCAAGCATAAGAGGTGTATTTCTCACAGCTCTGAAAGCTGAGAGACCCCATTGAGTGTCCCCACTCAGTGTCTGGTGAGGACAGGATCTTGGGTTGAAAATTGACACCTTCAAGTTGCATCATCACAACACAAAGGAGAAGAGGAAAACTTTGGTCTTCTCAGCCCATTATAAAGACATGAATCACATTTATAAAAACCCCACCTTCATGATCCAATCATGGCCCAAAGGCCTCAGATCTTAATGTTACAATACTGAGAAATAAGTTTAAACACAGGAATTTTTGGAGGACATAAATATTCAACTTATAGCAACAACTGATTCCAGAAATAGTGAGTTAAATCTATTACTTGCAATTTTAAAGATACTCACACTAAAAAACTAACATAATCAGTGGTAAAAGAGAAGAAATATAAAGAGATGTAGGAAAACTAATATCCTCATCTTACTCTATAGGAAATTAATCATTAGTCTCTAAATTAATAATTTAAAAGTAGTACGCATGTTATCTAGAGTTATGGAAAAATCCACTAGGAGAATTTTAAACAGAATATGTAAAAAGGCATTGCATCTGTGGGGCAGGAGGACAGTACAAAGCAGAACTCTATCCCTCTAGTTAAACACTTAACGTCCCTATGGGAGTCTGTGCCCTGTGGGTCTTGTGTAGACTTTAAGCTAATCCCTGTTTGTGTTTGGTGAGGAGCCAAGTGATGAAGGATCCTTAAACAGAAGAATTTGTCCTACTTGAAGGTTCTGAAAAGGCCTCAAATGACATAATAATTACCCTGCGTCTTGAAACATGGGTAGAAGTTACCCCATGTTGAGTCTAGCCTAATGAGGGATTTGTTCTTTGAGATTTTGTTTTGTTTTGTTGTCAAATAGGAGAGTGGATGATGAGGAGAAAGAAACAATAGTCTTCAAGACAAAGCCAGATGTGGTGGCCAGGCCTGTGATCTCAGCACTCGCTGAGGCCAAGGCAGGAGGATTGCACGTTTGAGGCTAGCCTGAGCAACTTGGCAGTTAGGTAAGGATGTCTCAAAAATAAAAAGAGTGAGATGAGTGACTCGGTGTGAAGGTCTTAGATTCAAAATGCAGTAAGCAGAGAGAGGGAGACCGACAGACAGACAGACAGGCAATAACATGCACAAACTCACAGAGTTTGAAAGATT